GGTAGCACTGCGCATGTCCTGACTTATACAGCTATCCGGAGGTTTTGTAGGTTTCGACGTAAATAWATAGATCAACTATTTATCGAGATCAAGCAACAAAACCGCAACTGCTGATCACGATACGGCAGTAAAATAACGAAATGTCAAAGCTGAATTGTCCTAGTTTGAACTTCGTTTAGTTGAACTGATTAGCAACAACAATTTGGTGCAGTTTTGATCAAGAAGTAATGCCAAAAATTCGAACTTTTACGGCATCATAAGTTAAGAACATTTACCATGCACATCAGTATGTACTGAATACTTGTTCATGGCAACGGCTGAGCCAATGTATAGGATATTTTCCACATATTGATAATTTTTTTGACTTTTTCATATGCGGTTCTTCCTCTTAATCTACCTTGTTTGTTCAGCTCTTCGGCAACTCTCTCTGCTTCTTCAAACGTCAGGCCTTCTGGATTGTCCATATAGTTTCCCTCTTTCTGTAACATTTTCAACGTTTTCTCAATAGAAGGTTCCCAACAAAGCTTTTCCTTCAAATCCACCCACCTTTTCCAAGCTTCTTGTCTTTCTTGGTCATCGAGCAAGTCTTCATCGTTAATATCTTCTTCAATGTTCTTTACTTTGTACGGCAAATCTTCAGCAAACTGGTCGGGCAGCACGATGTGATACATCATGGCCTGTAGAATCCAACATACTTCCGCAAYATAAGACTGGCAATAATTTATTTCAACATTATTTTTCAGCGTTGGTTTGTCTTGGTTGAGTCGCTTATTAACTTCTTTCTTAAAGCTATAATGGGCTTCGTCGAAGTCCTTCTCAAACTCGCCCATTACTTTGAGGATGTCGTTGGCAACCCATTCATTAAATTCCTTCATTTCTTTCTCTTGGTTTAATTTGTTTTGTTCAACCGCTTTTTCCAAAGATTTTAGCCTAGATTCCTGTTTTTCCCCCTTAAGTTCTTCTATTCTGTTCATCAGATCTAGAAATTCTTCCTTAAGGTTAGTGACTTCTTCTTTGCTATTCTCTGATTCTTTGCCAAGGACTTTGCTTTCCAGGTCATCGCTGAGTTTTAGGCCATTAACGTGGATTTGGGAATCAAAATAATGAAATTCTTTCAGTTTCTGGTTTGCCCTTCTGTCAGTCTCAGTCATCAAATCATGAAGCGTCATCGAAACTGTATCACATTCCATTGCAGGATTATACTTTTGGTGAAGTGATTCTAACTTATCTAAGGAAAAATTAAAAATACACTATTATTTCATCAATCATTACTATTATTTTACTCACTTTATTAAGATATGATAAATGATAGTCCCCACTGCAGGCTGTCTTGAAGAAAAACAAAAATGAAACAGATAAGCAAACGTATGATATTCGTTTTACGAGTCTAGAACTGCGAAAATAGCTTCGTAGCTAACAAACTTGTGGCCCTCGCTCTTACCCCGTGGTCGAATAGGAAGAAGTGTTGATTTTTTTGTGTGTTTATTTATTTTTTTTTTTTGTGAGAATAAAATAGTCTAAAATAAAAGCCAATTTGTGTACAGCTAATACTGAAACAGTTTATTAATATTAATGCTAATAAACTAACTGATAATCTTGTTTTTGGTTGACTAAATTTTCCTTTGAGTAAAAGTCCCGGTTCATTTGTCCGAGAAATCTAAGATGGCCGC